CAAAATAAGCCACAAGTAGGCGCGGCCAACCGTCGCCATTTTGTTCGCGCGTCATCACACCCACGGCGGGATACCAAACAAGGGCAAAGAGGCGGAGAGTGAGCGGAGCTACAGACACCTGCTGACAGTTTGCATGGACCTGGTTCAGACACACTTTACTTTGGGAAAACGCTTAATACTTTATCACCTGTGACTCGTTTGTATTGTGACCACTTGTGCTTGGTTGTACACTATATCAATAAAGTGTTTAGACTTTTAAAACCACTGCTGTAATACATTGTGCCAATAAACACTGTTCTTATGACGTTTTTCAACAGGAGGAAAACGCAAATTACTTCCAAACACTTCAGATATAGTCTGTGTTAGTTAATGTAGGACTATTGATGAAATCCAGCATAACACTGTATGACAACGCTTCAGATGACTGTTCTAGAGCCTACAGCTAATCAATCCGTCAGATTCTGGAGTGCATTACAGCTCTAAATATAAATAAAAACGATAAATGATCTTAAATAAAACGAATACATGTATAGAGATGGTATATAAGTATGTAACTTTACTCACATGGGAAACGGAGGCCACGTGAATGGTTTGTGAGCACAATTAAGTGCCCTCAGCATGACATTCCATCAAATAATTGTAGGAAACAAGTCCAAAAGGCAGTTGACTGTGTAAAGCCACATAAAACAACACAGAAATACGATAAATATGCCGAGTTCAGTGGCGAATCTGCAGGATTCAGCTGAGGTGACGTGACGGCGACCAACGAGACCTAGCTGTCACTCAAGTGGCCACTCCCTTAATTATGCAAACTTAATATAACTTAATATAAAGGAAACGGATGAGTTATAAAAAAATTCACCCCCCTCACGGTTGTCATGAAGGGTATTATTAGCTGTATTAACCAAAATCTTTTTTGTACCAGGCTGTAAACACCTTTTTTTCTGCTGTAAAGTTGGCCATTCTAACAGTGGGCTCAATTAAAATTTTCTCTGTTTTGGAGCCAGGAGCGGCCAGGACTAGTGGAGTTTCGGATGAATTGCAGTTTTAGTTACTTCCGTATTGGCTTCCTGAGAGAGAGCGGGAGGTTGCCGCTTGGTTGACACCAGAGCTCACCAGAGTTCACCAGAGCAATAAGCAGCTCTACGTTCATATCGCCTCTGGGCATCTTCTTTAATGTGCGCTTGCATTGACAGTTTTGCGCTTGAGCGCCTGTAAGTGCTGTTTACTGTAACTTCAGCAGCTCCGTGCACGTGAACAAAAGTGACTACCTGATTGGTGGAAAAGGTTTTGAAGGTTATCGTAAAAAAACGAGCATTAAGTGTTTCTTTAAAAATGACGCTTTTGTGCCTGCCTTTTTGCGCGTTGGTGTGCACGATCACATTGACGCCCTTTATTTAGTCACGAGGCGGTAAACATTGACAGAAAACGCGAGCAGAAAACGTCTCGGTGTGCACAGGCTTTAACTTGTTTAAAGCCTTTATTTACTCTGAATTTGGACATACATTGAAGCAAAACTCAAAGTATTTTTTAGTTATCATTAGGGCTGCTCAATATATTGCAAAATTAACTTTATTGTGATGATAGTATATACTATATATGTATCACAGATGTGTGATTAATTACATTTATTTAATGGCATTGGTTGTTTATCTAAATTCGACCAATCAGATGAGGCCTTAAGGCTGATTTATACTTTTGCGTCAAGTGCACGCGTATGCTCTAAAGCAGCCTGCGCGTGGTCGCAAAACCCTTGACGTGGCCGTAGCTGACGTGCACCTTTCAAATAGTGTAACTACACGTCGCAACGACACGTAGCGCAAGCTCTGGGATTGGTTGGCTTTTTAGCGCTGATGAGTGTGGGCAGGGTTGAGAGCTGTGCGACCTTAATGGATCGATTGTCTACAAGTGTCGAGTCCCATGAAGGAGCTCCAGATGTAAACTGTTGTTTTGTGTTCACCTTATGATTAAAGTCGTTGCACGTCGCCAGTTCCTGCCTCAAAATGAGCGAATTTGAGCCTTTTTTACATTAAGGTAGCATTCAGAAAAAACAAAACACCAGAAAAAAAACTCGACACAGATGATCATTAAAACTTACTGCTAGCTAGCTTTAGAAAGTGTTGTTGCAGAGCAACAGAAACGGCGGAAGAATTATAAATGCACGACAACATGCATTGCATGCGCCGCGGGTCACACCAATCACTCGACGCAGAAGTATAAACCAGGCTTTACAATCTTTAACCATGCCTCTCCAGTAGTTGCTGTTCTGCTATTGGCTGGAGCAGCTCAAACGTGAACCCGGAGCTGAAAATAAACACTGATGGGTGGAGTCGAGACGACAGGAAAATGACAACAGTCAATCAGAGTCCGAATATCTATGGAGGTTTTCCTTCATTCATAATGTTTAGCATTCTGGACACATTTTTTTAGTCCAAATTACAATTAATTAGATGTAAAAATTTATACTTCCCCTTTTTTATTATCATTAAATAAATAAATTATAAACACAGCTAATACAAATAGCAATTTTCTAGAGTAGTGTTATTAAGGGTGTCAAGATCCTCCAAATCCTTGATTCGATTACATTTTCGATTTTGAAGGCACGATTCGATTCGATTTTCGATTATGAATAATTAATTAATGACCAATTAATTATTTGTAGCCTACCGTTTAAACTACCTGACCTGGATGGTCTTTGTTTTACCCATAAACAAATCATACAGCAAATGAATAAAGGCAAGATACACACTTAGGCCCCGTTTACACTAGTGCGTTTTAGTTTTAAAATGGCGTTGTAGAATGAAAACGATCCGCGTCCACACTCGCGTTTTACCCAGCGTTTCTGAACATCCTCCGTCCACACCAAAACGCTGAAAACGCACATCACGTGACCACACACACACTCTCGGACAAGCGCTCCAGCATTTCTACCCAGATGAGAGCTCTGCTTGTCGGACTGCTCATCACGCATCTCCCGCTGGATCTAATCTCACTATATTTGCTAAACGTGATATTTCATTCATGTTGTTGTCTTTATCTAACGACATAGGCCAATTCCCTGACTTTGGTCATTGGAATCTATTAAGTTACTTGTTCACGGGTAACATGTTTTGGTTAAGCGCAAAGATAAGTTAATGATTAATCCAGGTACATTAACTGATCGCTTGCCTTTATTTCCTACAATGTATAAACTTATTGTATGTTATACTTTTATAATTGTCGATTATTAAAACTGATATTCAGCAAAAGAGAGGGTGTGTTTCGTATTTTCACTGAAATTGAAAGGAGGCAGTTGTTATCGGCTCCGTTTTGTTATAAATATCCACACAGTGAAGATGACGCTCATATATGCAGCACGGCGCCTCAACATTTCTGCTGTCTGTTAAGTTTTCTAATATTAAAAAGAAAATAGGCAGTTCCTTAAATCAAGTTTACATTTTATTGTTGAGAAAGTGAAACAACGTAGCCAAGGTGATGTGAATGAAGTTATAAAGTACACTGTTCCCTTTGAAGATTTACGTGTGTCCTCAGTATGTTTTCCATATCAAACTGAGAAGGAGGAGACTGCAGCCTTGATCAAACTTGCGAAGTCTTAACTTACAAGAAGAGGATGCGAGACTGAACTGTGTGTGGGCTACTTAATATTGAGGAAAAGCCCCAATCAGATAGGCGAACGTTTGCAGCCCCGCCTCCGTTTTCAGATGTCTCCGTCTTTCCCCATCCACACTGAGACGGAGCAGCAGCGTTTCAGAATGAAAACGGCCTCTCCAGCGTTTTCGAAACGCTCCGTTTTCGGCGCTCGAGAACTCCGGCGTAGTGTGGACGGATGGCGTAACCGTAGCAAAACTTATGCGTTTTCAAACTAAAACGCATTAGTGTAAACAGGGCCTTAATTACCACCTGTCAATCACTTTTTCTGCGGGACTCGTGAATAGGCCGTGATCTGTGTCGTTATAATGGCGTCGGTAAAAAAGACGCACAACCAACAGGAACCAGCCAACAGTATCTGAGGTGTTCGCAAAAATGGGAAAGTACAAGTGAGTGAAAGATTGAAGCAGTCCTCTGACTGCCTGGACTTGCTGTCTCGAGCGCAAGGCTGTATGTGCGTCTGTGTCTGTGTGGTCACGTGATGTGCATTTTTAGAGGTAGAGCGGAAGGAGGGCTGCTCAGAAATGCTACACGCCACTGTGGATGTCAAATCGTTGTCGTTCTAACTTCTAAAATGCCATTTAAAAACAAAGACAGTGTAAACAGGGCCTGAGTGTTTACTTTTTGCGAGCGGATTTGCAACAGGGGCGGGCGGAGGATCACGATGCCGGTGTTGTCTATCGGACGAACCGTACGTAATACGTACATAGCAGAGCTTGCAAAACTGTGCTTTTTTTGTCGACAACACGAACGTTGTCAACATAACTCACTGGAAATCCAAAATGCTTACACACCGGCGACTTCATTGAAAGAGGAGAGGGTTTAAGCTCTGTCGACGGGTCTCCTGCTTCTGCAGTTTAACAAGCACTTCAACAAGCATGTTTTTTTCCCGCTTGGCAAGCCAAGCTGACGTGACACATAGGGGCGTGGCAGCATCGACGATTCTATTTTTTGATTCGATAATCGAAATTGAGCATAAAGTTCGATCGATTTTGATTAAAAATCGAAATCGTGACACCCCTAAGTGTTATATCGATAGAAATATTGCAATACTCAACATCGCTATACCACTTATTTTTCCAATATCATGCAGCCCTAGTTATTATACTTGTAAAAATAATCCTTTTTGCAGCCTAAGTCAATATCCATCTCAACAAAAGAAATTGATACAGACAGAAGCCTACTTTTAAATATGATCTCAACCAACACTTCAATGAATTTACTGCACTTCTGGTAATAAAAGAGGAGTTAAAACCCTCCGCCTCATATGGTTAAACAATTAACATGTCCACTTTGAGAATGAAACTGACAGAGAACAGGAGCGGTAGGAACGAGACTGAAAAAGCTCTTACCCCCTGAGGGACTCCTGGCCCCTTCGCCGGACCCTCTGCTGCACCTCCCCCTCAGGTTTTCCAGTGAATCGGCTGGCCTGGATGTCTCCATCTCCTTGCCCTTGCACCGAATGGACTGCGGCCCACCATAGCACCACGTTGGCCAGCTTCCACACTCCCATTGGCCCCTGCTGTGCGACTCCTGAAGCGCCGGTAAATGTGCCTCACCCTTAATAAAACTCTTCCTTTCCAGTGAGCTCTTCAGACACTATTTTGAGCTTGATCCAAGAGCACTCCAGGCTTTAAGAAAAAAATAGTACAAAATGACCTACTGATCCTGATTACCATTGCTTTTCCATTCTCAACAGCTTAGCCTATTAAGCGCATGGGTTGTTGAGTCACACATGACAAAAATGAATATAGTTAGTACTGTCGTCATTAAAATGCTATAAATGGTTAAACATTTCTTGTCCTCCATGGACATCTTGTTATAAAAATGTTATTACATGTTTGAGGCAAATCTCCAAACTGTCCTATGGTGTAACTTTCTCAAGCATATAGTTTTGAGGCAAATTTTAAGAAAAACTGTTCTATAGTGTGACCGTTTCAAGCATAGTTTTGAGTCAAATCTCAAAACTGTCTATGGTGTCACTTTCTCAAGCATAGTTTTAAGCCAAATCTAAAAAACTGTCCTATGGTGTGACTTTCTCAAGCATAGTTTTGAGTCAAATCTAAATAATTGTCCTATGGTGTGACTTTCTCAGCATAGATTTGAGCCAAAACTCCAAATTGTCCTATCGTGTCACTTTCTTAATCCTAATTGTGAGCCAAATCTAAAAAAAAAAAAAAAAAATGTCTTATAGTGTGACTTTCTAAAGAGCTAAATCTCCAAACTGTTCTATGGTTTGACTTTCTCAAGCATAGATTTGAGCCAAATCTCCAAACTGTCCGATGGTTTGACTTTCTCAAGCATAGATTTGAGCTAAATCTCAAAACTGTCATATGGTGTCACTTTCTCAAGCATAGTTTTGAGCCAAATCTCCAAACTGTCCTATGGTGTGACTTTCTTAAGCATAGATTTGAGCCAAATCTCAAAATTGTCCTACGGTGTCACTTTCTCAAGCCTAATTGTGAGCCAAATCTAAAAAAAAAAAACTGTTCTATGGTGTGATTTTCTTAAGCATAGATTTGAGCCAAAACTCCAAATTGTCCTATGGTGTCACTTTCTCAAGCTTAATTGTGAGCCAAATCTAAAAAAAAAAATGTCCTATGGTGTGATTTTCTTAAGCATAGATTTGAGCCAAAACTCCAAATTGTCCTATGGTGTCACTTTCTTAATCTTAATTGTGAACCAAATCTAAAAAAAAAGAATAAAAATGTCTTATAGTGTGACTTTCCCAAGCATAGATTTGAGCTAAATCTCCAAACTGTCCTATGGTTTGACTTTCTCAAGCATAGATTTGAGCTAAATCTCCAAACTGTCCTATGGTTTGACTTTCTCAAGCATAGAATTGAGCTAAATCTCAAAACTGTCTTATGGTGTCACTTTCTCAAGCATAGTTTTGAGCCAAATCTAAATAACTGTCCTATGGTGTGACTTTCTTAAGCATAGATTTAAGCCAAATCTCCAAATTGTCCTATGGTGTCACTTTCTCAAGCCTAATTGTGAGCCAAATCTAAAAAAAAAACTGTCCTATGGTGTGACTTTCTTAAGCATAGATTTGAGCCAAAACTCCAAATTGTCCTATGGTGTCACTTTCTTAATCCTAATTGTGAGCCAAATCTAAAAATAAAAAAATGTCTTATAGTGTGACTTTCCCCAGCATAGATTTGAGCTAAATCTCCAAACTGTCCTATGGTTTGACTTTCTCAAGCATAGATTTGAGCTAAATCTCCAAACTGTCATATGGTGTCACTTTCTCAAGCATAGTTTTGAGCCAAATCTAAATAACTGTCCTATGGTGTGACTTTCTTAAGCATAGATTTGAGCCAAATCTCCAAATTGTCCTATGGTGTCACTTTCTCAAGCCTAATTATGAGCCAAATCTAAAAAAAATGTCTTATAGTGTGACTTTCTCAAGCATAATTTTGAGCTAAATCTCCAAACTGTCCAATGGTTTGACTTTCTCAAGCATAGTTTTAAGCCAAATCTCAAGACTGTCCTATGGTGTGACTTTCCCAAGCATACATTTGAGCTAAATCTAAAAACTGTCATATGGTGTCACTTTCTCAAGCATAGTTTTGAGCCAAATCTAAAAAACTGTCCTATGGTTTGACTTTCTCAGGCATGGATTTGAGCCAAATATAAAAAACAGTCCTATGGTGTCACTTTCTCAAGCATATTTTTTAGCCAAATCTCCAAAGTGTGTTATGATGCCACTTTCTCAAGCATAGTTTTGAGCCAAATCTAAAAAAAAAACTGTCCTATGGTGTGACTTTCTCAGGCATAGATTTGAGCCAAATATAACAGTCCTATGGTGTGACTTTCTCAAGCATAGTTTTAAACTAAATCTGCAAACGGTCCTATAGTTTGACTTTCTCAAGCATAGATTTGAGCCAAATCTTAAAACTGTCCTTTGGTGTGACTGTCTCAAGCAATCAGAGCTCTTGCAAAGTAAAAATAAAAATTTTTTGAAAAGTCGTTAATAAATACCTCATACCTAATTTTACGAGTATTTTAGTAAATAACAATAATTTTTTACCATCCATATATTTCTAAAAACAATGGATCTTGAAATAATTTGTCACTGAAAGCCATGTCCTCTTGTGTGAAACTATAAGCTAATTTTAAATCAGGCAATTCCTCAAACTCTGTCTTAGGACCCCTGTTAAGTTTTTTTGCCTAAGAATTTATTTACATATCTGGCTTTTTTTGAACCATCAAAAAAAAAAAAAAAAAAACACTTGTTGTTCTTTGGTGTGACACTCCAATGTATTGCAAATGTCGAACAGTCCTGACAATTCATGGAGAAAAACAAATAGTATTCATAATTTCATATGATATAAATAGCATTATATAAGGATGAGTGTCCAAGACTGAAGATCATTCACTGTCATGCAATTTTTGTATTATTGACAGTTATTTTTTTTAATGAATTCTGTCACATCATAGGACATAATTACAGTACAGTTCAGAAAACATTTGAAAAAACTACAAATAATTGCTAAACATCGCAATCCCTTATGTTTTCTCAAACATCAGATTTCAAAGTACATAAATATGTCTAGTTTTTCTTCAAAAACGGTCTTTCCCCCAAAAAAGGATTTCACTGCATTTTTGTCCCATATGCAGAAAACATAAGAACAAATGTGCCCCCTCATAAATTTAGCCATTAAGCTGAGTACGGTCGATGATGGAGTTTTTTATAAAGTATAGTATTATTCCAGGCAAACTGTATGGCTCTTTAAGTGCCAGCCCGCATCCTTTTACAGGCCCACTTAGACTGTCTTAGTGTGTAGAAATAACCAACTCCGGGCCAAGACTGGACTCATGGTTTAGTCCTCAACCGGCTCATTAAAATAAGATTTTAGGGTAAATAATGGGCCTCAAAAGATTTAGAACCATGGCAGAAATTGGTCTCAACTTCAGGGGGGTGGCAAAACAACATTGCGAGCTTTTACGGTTTTCTTTTCAGCATGATATATTTGTGTTAAGGAACAACTGCAGATGTAAAACCTCTGCAAAGTGGGCATACTGCTTTACAAGGACATTCTTAAACAAATTGGATATGTCTCCACAGAGTTTTACTGCTGTGCCATATATACTGATTAAAAAAAAGTAACTTTAGTCCAAAGTAAAGCGAAATGAATGCTCTTTAACTTCAAAGACTTAAAAAGTTGCAAGATTATGATAATAAACTTAGCTAAATTACAGTACACCATCTAAGATGACAGGACTTGTTAGTCTGGGAAAGAAAGTTTTTAAATGGGTGGATCTACAGTGTGAATAAAGAAAAAGCTCACTTTTTACAGAACATTTATTGTGATGATATTCTTTAAAGTATCTTCCTTCTGCATTTAAAAATGTCTACTTATTAAAATTGGTTTAATAAGATTATGATACTGGTAGGTCTGGTAAATCTGTGAGGGAAAGTTTGAGGAGTTTTCAAGAGGGCGGTGCTTATCAACACCGCGCGAACAAAGAAAAAAAAACATCAATGACAACAATCATCTTTCCAGGGTCTCATTATGAATTACATCTTCCGCTTTTCGGCTCTTCATGACGTCAGACACGGTGACACAATCCAACATCTTGTATTCCTAATTATTCCCAATTATGACGTTATATATACAAATATCACAGCACGTGAGCGTTTCCTTTGTGAAGAGAAGAAAAAAAAGTGGCTAGGAAAAAAGTTGAGTTTACTTGCTGAGGCGTTTTACCTCAGATTTCGCATTTACATGAAATATCTTACAATGTTTTGCTAATTTGACGTATTTTAATAGTTTTTCACGAACATTAGGGTGGGAGTTGCAGATTTAACGCGTTTAAAATGTATCTAGCAACTGTTAAACGTATATTTAACGTTTTTTTTATTCAAAAAGTAACGGTTTTTCTCTTCATGTTTTTAAACTTTTAACCGTTACTCACCATTAAACTTTATTTCTCTTCAGCCGTGCTGTAGCTAAATAATTAGCTTATTTTGAGTTTTAATTCAGTTAGCCGGTCAACAGACTGTTAGCAAAGAAATGCCGGTTTACGTCACGGAGGCAGCTTTTTCGTTCAAATTAACTTCTGCAACTCCGCCAACTTTCTTAATCGCCCATAAACTCGCTCTTTCCTGCATTTAAAAGTAAAAATCTCCTCGCATTACGAGCGCCCCGGTGAAAGCGATGCGAATAAAGCGTGCATTAGGAATCAGGATATTGAAGGAGAAATACCTCAGATGCGTCGGAATGCCTGGAGGAGTCCGTTATTGTCACGGGATATTTGCTCTCCTGAATGGAAAAACTGCACTGTAGCTCTTGTGAGAAAGAGAAAAGTAAGTGAATTGGCCTGATAGGTCGAGGGGAGGTGCTTTTTTTGGTTGGAGAGGAGGGGGTTTGAACCCACTGACTGTCCCCCTGCACTGCAACCAACCATTACTGTACAGAGGGGGAAAAGTGAATGAAAAAGAAAGTATAGATTATAGAGCTTTTAGAATCAATGGGATAATTGTTTGTAATCACTGATTGTCTTGTAATGATGTAGAAGAAAGATTGATTAATTGATCTGCTCATGTTTGGACCAGTCAACAACATTGGCAGCTTGATATGAAAATTGTAATATTTAAAAATTGATCATAGTACTAATTTAAAGTAAATGCTAATGTGTTTTTGAACCAAGTACTTGATTCAATCTGTTGTAGTAAGTGTGTGTACATACTATTTTACAATACACAGCAGTTTACTATAGTATAAACTAAAGTATACTACAGTGTTGTATGTTTTTCCTACAACAATATACAACCACAGTTTACTATAGTAAAACTAAAGTAATCTACAGTGTTGTTGTATGTTTTTTACAGCAATGTACAACCACAGTTTACTACAGTAAAAACTGAAATATACTAGTGTTTATGACAGCTTATCAGTTCAATATAGGTGATATTACAGAATATCGTAGCTTGCAGCTTTCTATTACAAAGTGTTGTAAATACTACATAACAGTATAATGCACTTTAGTATAGTATAATGGGGTTCAAAAACATTAATTCTGAAAACAAATGACTATTATATGTTCAAGTATGAATTTTTGAATTGTTATATTTGTTGTTACTTTTAATTGTCTTTTTAATATATATCAGTGATAAAATCAGGCATCGATTCTATATAAACATCTAAATCATGTAAGCAATTTGTTTTATAGCTGATATAATGTGATATAAAACTTTTCAAAAATGTATAACTTAGTTTTGAACACTATAAAAATTAAATTTGTAAACGATAACTGTGTTACGGCAATTTAGCACCTTTTCATTCATCTTTTAAATAAAAATAAAAATAAATTACTTTACTAATTTGTTATATTTTAATATAAATTGTTATGTGTATGCTAATAGAAAATTCTAATTGTATTTTTTTAAATAAGTGAATATTAAATATTTATTTTTTATCAGATTTTATTATAAAATAAGTCAATATATGAGAGAGTGAGTAAAATAAAGTGGCATCATCATTACTAAGCTCAATACATATATTTGTAAAAATGTAACTACATGCTTATTCTTATTTGTACTTATAAAAAATATTTCAATAATAAGTGATCATGCTAATTTTTAATAGATGTCATATAGAAAATTGTCTGATTTTGCTGACAACCAGGTAAAACCTGGTGGTCTGACAAATTATAACAAAGTAAAATTGCAATGATATTATTTATTCTCATAAATAGTATAAATAAATCACAACACAGTCTTTTTACACACTTTAGTTCCATAGCACAAGCAAAACAGTGTAATTGTGAACTGTTGTATCACTTGATGATATTTTAATGTAGCTCATGTCTGTAAGCAATTCAAAAAATAAATAAATTATATATATTTTTATACGTTTTTAATTATATATATATATATATATATATATATATATATATATATATATATATATATATTCTCATCATTTTTCTCATATTAATCAGCAATTTAATATCATACATATTTTATTTCCATAGCAAATGGTAAAGCAACAAGAATGTTACACAGTAAACTTAAAATATATTAAAATGATATAAATTGTTTTATACATTGATTTATATTTAATAAGTGTTTCATTTAAATATTGGGAAAAATGCATAATATTGATCATTTTTTCCCATGACAAGCACAATTATTCAGGACTTTTATTTTATTTTCAGATTATTATTTCTGTAGCAACAGAAAAAAGTTACACAGAATAAAAACACAACAATATAAACTGTTGTTACACTTGTGTCTCCTCTAAATAATTGTAAAAATATATGATAATAATACTGTTTTCCTCATGAAAAATACAATTAATCTGGACACAATTTAACATTAAACTCATGTTACATTTATTTCCTTAGCAACAACAGCGAACAATGTTACACAAAGTTGTTTTCCTATTAAAATATCAATTATGTTACAAAACTAAAGTGTGTCTGAATGGAAAAACCAATCAGTCATGGCATTAGAGGTGAACATTATGTTGTTAGCCAAACAAGAAGAAAAGCTTTGTTTTGTTGTTTTTTCTCACCCCAGTTCTCTTATTCTACCTAGCATACCTAATTTTAATTGGCTGTCAAAGACGACGCTCCACCTGGGTGGTCAAACAGCTGAGCGCAAACCAAGAGTGAGCGACGACGTTGTTGAGTCAGCAGGTTTGAAAACATTAATGCCTTTGTGCTCTCCCAGTGATTGTGTTTAATCTCGCAGTAGAGAAAAATGCACGCTCGTAGGGGGAAAAAATGCTTCTAAACGGTACCAAATCAGGGTTCTTCAGCTTGCAACAGTAGCAGAAGCCTTCATTTGCATACGGTCCTACAAATATTCATGTTTTGAAAGTGATATAAATGACCTTAAACATATTTAAAATGGTATTTTCGATTAATAATAGCATGCATTTCAGTAATAGAAGTATATATTTTATTAATAAGGTGACTCAGTGGTTAGCGCTGTCGCCTCACAGCAAGAAGGTGGCTGGTTTGAGTCCTTGCTGGGTCAGTTGGCATTTCAGTGTGGAGTTTGCATGTTCTCCCCATGTTGGCGAGGGTTTCCTTCTGGTGGGTTTCCTCTGGCTAATCTAAGTTAATCGACTGAAAAAAGAACCTGTTTTGGTAATCTTCAATCAAAATGTGTTTGTTTGTTTCCTTGTTGGTTGTACTTCACTGATGATGTCAGTTGGACGCTTCAGGCACAGTGTTCTTAGCCACACCCTTTTTACCATTAGTTTGCTATGAGGGAATGATGAGCGAAAAGAAAGCCCTGCCCTCCTACTCCATATTTCTCTTATGTTGGAAGTACATCATTCATTTATTAATTTTCCTTTGACTTAGTCCCTTATTCATCAGGGGTCACCACAGATGAATGAACCACCAACTATTCCAGCTTATGTTTTACGCACCTCCCAGCCACAACCCATTACTGGGAAACACCCATACACACTCACAAATTACACACATACACATAGACTATGACCAATTTAGTTTATTCAATTCTGACCTTGTGTCTTAAATTCGTGAGTTTATATTCCACAATTTTGTCTTTATAATTTGCAGTTTCGAGTTAACATTGAAGAAGTCTGAGGAAAAAAATCTGAATTGCGCGTTTTTATTAGCATTAAACATTTTTATTTTTAATTCAGTGGCTAAAACATCCTTTCATAGTCACTGTTGCCAGATTGGGTGGTTTTGAACACGATTGTGCGGGTATTAAATGACATAGGCGGTTATAGAAAATTTGCAACAGAAAGCCTGGCCCACTCCAATGTGTTCTTGTGACTGTCACAACCCCCCATCCCTGGGAAAACTGGTTAAAAACTGGTACAGTCTACATCCAAACTGGCAGCTTACATGCAAAGGAACTACCTTTAAAAGATTTTACATATTAAATGACAAATATCACGTTAGACATAATAAACACACAGCAAATAACAATATTAAACAGTTTGGGCCCTATCATACACCTGGAGCAATTGTTGTTTGCTAGTTTCAGCTTGGCGCAAGAGTCGTTTTGATGTTTTCCGGCACACTGTTTAAATAGCAAATGCATTAGCGCTCATATGTGCGCCCATAGGTGTTCTGGTCTAAAAAGGAAGGTGTTCTGAGGCGCATTGCTGGCGCGTTGCTATTTTGAGAAACTATACTAGATTTTTCAATAGACCAAAACAAAGCCGGTCTAAAGTCGAGCGAAGAGCGCGTTACTTATGCGCCTCGCTTACACACTGCTTTATACACACAAGATGTAGAACAAAATGCAAATATCTTTACAAGTAAAAAATAATTAAGATATTAAGGATATATATATATATATATATATATATATATATATATATATATATATATATATATATATATATATATATATATATATATAATAAGGATATATATAGGATATAAATATAAAGGATTAAAATATTACAAAACATATTATTTTCCAGCCTACATAAATAAAAAAAAAAAAACTGCCTTCATGCCTTCTTCATCTCGGGAGGCTTTTTCAGTTCATTCATAACAATTTGCTTTTGTATAATGTTATCATTATTAGTAGTATTATTTATTATATCCATATTTATATTTGTTTTATTAAAAACAAGCTTAGATTTGCCCAATTGTCAGATTTCAGACCATATGGGGCATAGCATGTGTTTTAGGATATAACTCAGTTGTTTGACCACACTTTGTTATTATTGTTCATTTATTCATTTGCTGGAAATTAGAACTGAATTTAGAAATAGTTTTGAAACAAATCTTTGCACTTAACAAACAAATTTAATTATGTATAGGCTAATGGATGTCTGTGCGTACAAGGTTTCCCTATCCACGAGACCGAAAGTGAAAGTAGATTATAAGATTCCTTATCTCACATTCTAGCGCTGCAGATGCTCTGTTTAACTGTTAACAGTTTCTTGCTAGCGAAATGCTCAGTTTTTCCATTTACACTTACTTTACGCCATGTAAATAGCAAATGTGCTTATGGCGCGATGCAACTGGCTTTTAAAGGGAATGGGAGATGAGACTCTGATTGGTTTATTCTCAAAACACACCTATAACTCATTAAGAAAATAAACTCAACCCTTTTAAATCACGCACCACCGCGCAAAGCGGATTTTTCCGTCCTTAAAATAGCAAAAGTGGATTGTGAAACACCCTGAAAGCGTTTGCGCCCTGCGCTTTTCACTTTGCGCATGGACCGTCAAAATAGAGCCCTTAGTTCCAATTCTTCAAGAGTCCAGGTCCACTCAAGAGGTCTCCATGACCTCTGACCTAGCTGGGTGGATCCTGAGGAAACAAATAATTTTGGCAAACAGAAAAGCAAAGACGCACACACACATTATTCCAGTTTTACTCTGAAGAGG